CACTATCGGACGCCTAGAAGACGTGATGAGGCGCTGCATCAATCCAAAAATGCAAGGAAGGATTATTAACCTTAGGCAACTTTTCTTAATCCGCACACACACACACACATACCTGTTTACTTAGCGGTAAGTAGGAACTCAGCTGTTAGTCGATTGGCCGATCACAGAATATATTGTAAAGTGTAGTGACTGTGTAGTTTGTGGGCGAAACACGGCAGCCAATTGCGCACAACAGTGGCCCACAAACAGTCGTGGATTGGGTGACCAAATAATATTTTATTTGGAAGGGATTATTACCCCCCGGAAAGCGATCCGCCAATCGAATCGACTAACAACTGGGTTCCTGCTTACTGTTGGGTAAACAGAGGCGAGTGGAGCAAAGTTCAGGTGAGCAATGGGGGGGTGGGGGGTGCAGAGGAGTGGGGAAGGGCTGGTTGCAAACAGGTTGAATGCACGATCTCCGACCTTTTAGGAGAGGGAAAAAAATAGCCAACTCATTTCCATGACGGATGAGATGACAGATGTCCATCCCTGTGAATTATTGAGCAAATTCCAACATAGCGTTATTGCATTCCTTATATTCCATAACCCTAAGCCCCACAAGCCGGGGGAGTGGGGGGGGTCGGTGGTGGCGGGAGAGAGGAGGATGAGGGAACGGAGGAGGGAGGGAGGGAGTGAGAGAAGGAAGGAGAGAATGGAGTGGGGGGGGGGTGGGGGGACGGAAAAATCAGAATTGTTTCAGATGTCAAAACAGACCCAACTCTGACGCACGGTATTGCTGTAACCTTGAGCATTGTAACGGAGAACAAACAGTTGAGCAGCTAAATAGTTTCACAAATGGTGACAATTTGTCGGGTGAGGGGGGGAGAGAGAGGGAGGGAGGGATGGAGGGAGGGAGGGAAGGAGGGAAGAGGCGGTTCTTTGAGGTACCAGGTTACTAATGAATGTCCAAAATAGGAATCCGTTTATTTTTACTCGTAGCAAAGTGTATTTATTGAGCGTCTTTCATTGTCTCCCCCTCTACTTGGATTGTGTTCCTTCCCTGCCGCTGACTCCAGGCGAGCTGCGACCATGGTAAGAGCGGGTCTACTTGTCGTCATCCCAGCAACTCCACACCCTACCGTTTCCATTCATCCATTCATCCATTCATTCATTCATTCATCCATCCATCCACCCTCTCTCTCTCTCTCATTCTCTCTCTCCATTCAGTGCTCCCCCCGTTCAGGCGCAGACGTTAAAAGATCACACCGTAGCTGGCGCGGTTGCAAAAGAGAGCGGCGAGTCGAGTCGAGCGCTCTGGGTGAGGGACGCTCTGTAAATACGGGTTGCTGTCGATTCCCGGCCGACAGTGTGCGGGGTGGGGGTGGAGGGGGCTGGGCAGGCGGTGGTGGTGGCGGGGACCGGGACAAATGTGTGCTGGGGGGGTGGTGCGGGGGGGTGCTGCTGCTGGGTATCATTATTATCGCCGCACATTGGCTGCCGCTTTCTCCCGTAAGACACACACACACACACACACACACACACACAGTCGGCGCGCTTTACGCTGTGTCCTGTAAATCGCTTCAGGACTTTTGTGAAAGGCGCCGTAACCGAACGTAAGGATTATTATTATTTATTATGTGTCGTACTACAAATAAATATATTATTTGCCCCCCCAAAAAAACAAGTGAAGGCACGCCTCGCTGACTCCAGGTTCAGCTCGTGCCTGTTACTGAGCTGAGCTCCCGACGCAGCCCCCATTAACATGCTCCATACAAACAGCCTCACTCCAGTAATGACATCTCATCCATAACCCCCGCGGCTTATGAATCTTATAGATATTAATAGGTCCTGAGGGGGTTTATCTGACGCTATTAATGAGGTTTTTTTTTTTTTTTTTTTGCACGCCGTTCAGTCCAGCAGCAATGGGGACTATTACAAAGCAGCTCTCGACCCTCGTTCCAGTTACATATTTTTACCTTTTCAAATATTTGCCCCACGCTTTCTATTTTGGGGGATGCGTCCTCAACTAGTCCTCCCGGTCTGTGTGTGCGTGCGTGCGTGCGTGTGCGTGTGTCTGAGTGAGTGTATCGGTCTCAAATTGGGCCTGAAGACCTCTTCCTCTTTAACCGTGCCTAAGGTCACCTCCTCCTCGACCCCCGGCTCGGCGTCGTGCTCCGCCACTGACGAGCGCTCTGGGACGCTGTGCTGCGTGAGGGGGCGCTGTATAAGTGCAACTTATTGTTCTGCGCGTCTGCGCGAGTGTGTGTGTCTTGAGTCTGGGAGGGAGCAGATGCAGGAGCCGGGACACCACTGTGTGCAAATCGGCCGCCGGGTTTGCTCACAAAGACGCTTGCCGCACTTAAATCCCGCAAAAGCGCGTGGGTCGTCCTCCCGACGTGATAGATGCTGCGATCAAACCAAGAATTGCTATTAATATTATTATTATTACTGACAACAGCATTGCGTGTATTTAGTTTTTTCTTCTCTTCCTCCCCCCCCCCCCCCACACCCCCGCCTTTTCCTTTTCTTTTCTGGGTTAGCGGTGACACCCACCCACTCGCACGCTCCTGCCATTAGACGACGGAGCTGTAAGTAGATTGAAATTGCTGCTGAGAGGGCTTGTCAGTGCAGGAGGCAGTATGTTAGGCTGTTTGAAGCCATATGCACCATTTTCAGGCCTCATCAGTTTTACATCGATTTCCAGTGAAGTGTTTAATTGCATTATGAACAGAGTATAATTCAAGCCATTCTCTCCCCAAATGTTCGTTTGTGAGAAGTGCTTATCCAGGAACACAGAGCTGCCTGTCTGTCTGTCGGTCTGTTGGTCTGTCGGTCTGTCTGTCTGTCTGTCGGTCTGTCGGTCTGTCGGTCTGTCTGTCCGTCGTAAATCAAAACTGATTTTTTTTAAACATGTGGAGTGGGGGGGTGGGGGTGTTGAGCGAGAGGATGGAGGCTGGCGATTGAGCAAGTGGGTGGGAGTGGTCGACGAGTGAGCGAGAGGGGTGTTGAGCGAGTGAGTGGGGGGATCATTGAGCGAGTGAGGGGGGGGGTCATCGAGTGAGTGAGTGAATGGGTGGATGAGGAGAGGTCGAGCAAACTAGTGAGTGGGGGGGTTCAGTGAGCGAGTGTGTGGGGGCGGGTGTGTGTATGTGAGTGAAGGAGAGTGGGTGATGAGGGGAAGGGGGCTTTGAGAGGAGGGGGAGTTTTTTTTTAAAAAAAACACTTTTCTCCCCCTTTCTTGACTAAAAATCCATATCAGGATCATTTATTATTCACGTTAAACACCGTCAAATATTCTCCCGTGAATAAAATATTAAGAAAGTGAGAGCAAGAGCGAGGTGCCTTTTTTACTGACTTCCCCATCTGAAATATATAGCGCTTACATTTTTGTAATGAATTTGGACGGCATCGATTTTTGAAAAAATGCCTTTATTAAAATAATCATAAGACTATAAAGCATGTCTCGTCCCCATCTCCTGTGTAGATTTCTCTGGTTATTTGGCTGATAGTCGCATTATTCATCTGTTATCTTGTTTTTTTTTTGGGGGTGATTGGGGGGAGAAAAAATGATAGATTCTGTATGTATACTTTTTATGTAAAAGAAAGCTTGGCAATCGATTTCTGGCTGCACCGACTTACTTTCGGGCTAACAGTTCTTTGGCCAGCCGGCTGTCTGACATGTGCGGAAACACCATCGTGGAAATTCCAGAGATAGATTATTGGAATGGAATGGCTCTCTCTCTCTCTCTCCCCCCCACCCACCCCTCCCTGGAGGGACGCATCCTGCTTACCTAATTCTGGAAAGTATTAGGCGCAGGTTGGCAAGAACCAAAACTTGGGGGGTACCCCAGAGTGTGCACTGGTGGCTGGGGGGGGGGGGGTGCGGGGTAGGGGGTAACTGCTGCAATATTAGCCTGTGTGAAGGGTGATGCCTAAACCCAAGTTGTCTCTGTTGCTGTTACGGATGAGGTGTGTCTATTACCAGCCCTGTCTGATCGGCTGATTGATTGATTATTGATTATTGGGTGACTGATTGATTTCCCATCGGGTTGACTTATCGATGAACATGTCACATCTCAGACGTGTGGGGGGAGGGGTGGGGGGGAAGTATTCTCTCCCCTTTGTTGCACTCTGGGTCCATCGCAGGGAATATAGGGGTTTGACGAGCAACAACTGGCTGAAATCCAGCCTTATCTGAATGGCACAGAGACCTCTTGATGTCAAGTCAATCCTCCCCACCGCACGTGCGCACACACACAAACACACACCAACACACACACACACACACACAAGCACTGGGCAGGGGAGTGGGGATCAATATATTGATGAATCCAGAGCCTGCTCCATTGATTACCTTTACAGCTAACAGCAACGAGCAGAATATCTGATTATTTTTAGACAAAGATTCTGCTCGCTCAGCAAGATTCCTGCTGACTCTGCCCCTGTGTCAGATATCTGCTGCTGATTGCAATTAGCCGCGGAGCCAGGACAAGGGAATGGAAATGTAAAGAGGGGGGTGGAGGGGAGAGAGAGACTTTGTGTATGTATGTGTGTGTGTGTGTGTGTGTGTGTCGAGGGGGGTTGTGGGGGTGTGATGCTCGCAACTAGCTCTCGCACGCTTGCTCTCGCACCCTCGCTCTCGCAGGCTCCCTCTATTTCACGCTCACTCGCATAATTTCGCTCATGCTCTCGCTCACTCTATTGCTCTCACTCACTCCCTCTGTCTCTCACTCATTTGCTCACTCTCTCTCTGTCGCTCGCTCACTCAGTCACTTACTCACTCACTCTCTGCTATCCCCCAGGTCTTCACTTCCACCACTTTAAGTAACGCAGTTGGGTACATTCATACTCACGTTGGGGTGAAGTCTCAAAGGTGTTCAGGATGGATTGGGGTGGGGAGGAAAGAAGACCACAAACTGGGCAAAGAGGCGCATCTTGAGATGCGACTTGGATCAAGGGGAGGGAGGGAGGGAGCGAGTCAGAGGGAGATGCAGAAAGCAGGGCAGGATGGCTGAAAGCACCACCGTGTTCAGATTGTCCGCCGTGGAGCGTGGACAGAGTCTCAGAGTGCTGTAAATCCTCACATTGAGACGTCGCGAAGCATTTCACAGGAGGTTTGATTTACCGCCAAGTCAAGCGACTGGATTTTTTTTTGTAGCCGAAATGCGGCAGGCAGTGTCCGTCCCCATAAGCAGGAGTGAAGCGAGTGACTGTTTTGTAACGGGGTGGTGGAGGGGGGGAACGTGGGAATAGAGAGGGAGGGGGAATTGTCAGCCAGGGACACTGGGAGAGAAACTTTCTTCTCTTTAATGAACAGCGCCGCGGGGGGAACGGAGATCTTTAGTGTGGAGCCAAATGGGGAAACAGACGAACAGTGTTTGTGTGTGCGGAGAGGGGAGGGGGTGGGGAGGAGCTGGGTTTAACGTCTTTCCTGAAGGAAATCCCAAAGGAAATGGGGAGCGTAGATGGCGGCTCCTAAAACCTTTTGTCTCCTCTTTGTCAGAAGGAACTGAGTTCGGTGGCGACGGAGCTGGTCGCTCGGCAGGAAGAGAGCGAACGATCTCACAAGCATCTGATAGAGCTGAGCCGGGACTTCAAACGCAATGCACCACAGGTAGGGAAACAGCAGGAGGCCATTCAGCCCCTTGAGCCTGTCCCGACATTCTGTTAGATCACGGCTGATCTGTACCTCAAATCCAATTACCCGCCTTTGTCCCTTTTCCCTTGATACCCTGACCTAACAAACATCTGTCCACCTCAGTCTTGAAAATTTGATTGGCTCCAGAATCCACAGGCATTTGGGGGAGGGAGTGAGTTCCAGATTTCTAATCCACTTGGCGCGAAAAACATCTTCCTGAGTTAGATGGGGCTGCCTTGCGTTATACAGGACGGACCGGTGATGGGGGAAGGGGGAGCATGCGGATGTCTTCATTTTTGTCGAGTGCACCAAAGCTGAAGTTTGTGGGAGGACAGCGGGCAAGTGGCAGATAAAGGCTAGATCCCCCACCCCCCTCCCCCACCACCTTCTCCCCACTAGTTGTAAGTTTCCTCCTTAAGAGACCCTGTTTAACAAATGTTGCAAACTAGGTGCGAAGGTCCAGCGCCTTGGGACGTCCTCCCGACGCGAAAGGCGCTCTATAAATGCAATCTTGTTGTTGTTGTTGTTGTCGCTGAAGGTCGTATGCGTGGCTTTGGGTTTTTTCGTCTCTTCTAAAGTTCAGGAAACTTTTATTTGCAGGAAATCAGAGAGATGGTGGCCCCACTTCTCAAGAGCTTCCAGACAGAGGTGAGAACGCAGAGTGCGGGAAGTGTGTTCTGAGCTGACAATAATAATGATTATTAATAATGAATTATTAATAATTCGGGAAAGTGCCTTACATTACGCCGGAAGGACGTCCCGTGGGAGGTTACTGTAAACCGTAGTGACTGTGTGTGTGTGTGTGTGTGTGTGTGGGTGGTGTGTGTGTGTGTGCATTTTGTGACCCCAGGAATACGATCAAACTTGTAAACCATTGTAAAGTGCTCCGAGACGCTGCCCATGTGAAGAACACTGTAAGTTGTTCTTGTATCATTAACTCGGCTCTCATTTCTGACGCTATACATAGGGCTTCCCACTGAAGTTGTGAAATCCACTGTTTAATTGAAAATATATATGTGTGTGTATATTGTTAGTCGATTGGCGGATTGCTTTCCGGGGGTAATGATCCCCTAAAAATAAAAAACATTTGGTCATGCAATCCATGACTGTTTGTGCAACACTACTGTACACAATTGGCTGTCGTGCTTCGCCTACAAAATACACAGTCGATCCACTTCACAGTGTAATCTGAGATGCGCTTTGAGTCCCCTCAACGACGCGATAACCCGCTATATCAAATGCAAGGATTATTATTAGTAATATTATTAGAATGCATTTTTTTTCAAACCACCTATTAAGATGCCTTCATAACCTATTTTCCTTCGGAATTAATTGTGAAGTTTTTTTTTGTGCGGTGGGGGAAAAAAAGGTTTTTTTTGGTGCGTGATGCGGGTCTGACGCCGGTAATTAATTAGGCTATTACCCATTCCGCAATGTTAATTGCTTTGCTGGAAAGGCAGGCAGGCAGGCACCAGGCTGGGGAAAGGAAGGACTTGTGCCTCATCCATCACCGCACACCACACTCAGCTGTGTTTCTTCACCTTGACTCTCTGAAATGCAAAGCTTATTCACCAGCACCAGAAATAACGGTTGATCAATAAGCAATGGGCTTTCCCTGTGTGTTGCTGCGAGCTGGCTTTTTTTTTGTTGAGGGTGGGTGGGGGGAGGGAGATTGACGTGAAGCTTGCGTGATTTCCAAGCAGAGGTGTCTTTTTCTGGGGGAGGAGGAGAGGAGGGGAGAGGGTTGGGTTGGAATGGAGGGAGGGGGTGGGTAGAAGCTAATTGTTTGCCGTTGTTTGGGGAAGCTGAGCACGGAGCTTACTGTCAGAGTTCAGAACCCAGAAGTCCTGTGTGTTGTGATCGGCTGTCCCACGGCACAGCACAGCAGATAACGATGCAATCACCGATTTGGATTGGCTTACAATTCACCGTTTGGGGGGAAAAAAAACTGTTGGTGGGACATTGCCGTGCGCAATCGGTTGCCGAAATTCTCCCACAGTCGGTTCACTTTACAGTATATTCTGTGAATCGCTTTGAGACGACTCAATGACTTGATAAGGCGCCATATCGAATGCAAGGATTATTATTATTGCACGCCCGCTGTTTGCCAGGAATGTGCCATGAACAACCATCTTTCCGAACAATCAATCAATCAATCGCGACACTGCTAAACACCAGCTGTTGTTCTGCTTCCAGGTGGTAGCGCTGAGTAGGAGGAGCAAGGAGGCCGAGGCTGTCTTCCTTAATGTTTACAAGCAACTGATCGGTGAGACAGGTAAGAGTCAACTTGACTCCCTCCCTCGCTTCTCGCCTCACCTTGCTCGTGGGTGGGGACGCGAGAGATAGGAACACGGGAACTTAGGAATCACTGGACGAAAACAGATCAAGGTCCATCTAGTCTGCCTTCTACCACCCTGGTCGTCGCATGCTACAATAATGGAGGTGGGATAATTAATTCACTCATAATTAGGGTATTTTTGGTCAGCCGGGTGTCTGACACATGCCGGGTGTCTGACACATGCCGGGTGTCTGACACATGCGGAAACCCATCACCTTGCTCGAGAGAATCCAAACCAAGCTGAGAATTCCACGCATCCCAACCTCTCTCTCTCTCCCTGGACGGACACATCCTGCTTACTGAATTCCAGAAAGTATTAGGCGCAGGTCCAGGCAGACAAAAATGTGTGTGGGGGGAAGGAGGGGTGGGGGGAGTCAAAAGATATTGTGATATAGTGAAACGGGACTGAGGACGTGCTGATGTCTCTTTTTCTCTCTCTTTCTCTCCCCTCCCCCACCACCACCAGACGCGGCCGTTTCCCTCGGACCCGCCCGGACGCTGGAGGAGGAGTTGCGGCGGCTCCCACGCGATGCTGGGAGCGAGCGGGAGGTCAGGCCCCGGCGGCCACGCAGACAGGCCAACACCCCCCCCACGCAGTGTAGGTGGCCAGTGGGATGTGGGATGGGGGGGTGACCTGGGAGCTCAGGGATTTACTGTGTTAACCCAAGTGGACACCCTTCAGTCTGTGTGTCGTGTGTGTCTCTCTCTCTCTCTTCCCCATCTTTCTGTGTATCTTGCTTATATTCTTTCACTCCTCTCTCTCTCTTTCTCTCCTGCGCTCTCTAGATCTCACACTCTGTCTCTCTCTCTCTCTCGCCCCCCCCTCCTCTCTCTCTCTCTCTCTCTCGCTGTGCTCACCCCGTGTTCCCTCCTTGGCTCTCCCCAGTGGCAGACTATTTCCCAGTGGAGGAGAGGCTGGGGGTTTGCGATGAGACGCGACGGAGCAGCACTGATGGCCCCCTGCCCACCGAGCACAACTTGACACCCCAACATGATGACGAACGAGAACGGTACATGCGCTTTCATCCACTCGCCCATCATCTTCACACCATCACCATCACCCCCTCCCCCATAGCCTCCGCCAGCGCTGTGTCCATTGCATACCCTCCTCTCTCCTGTTTCCGGTTTATAGGCTCGTACCCACGAGCGCACAGGCTCGTACCCACGAGCGCACAGGCACGTACCCGCGCGCGCACAGGCATGTACACGCACACTCACTCACTGACAGTCAGACTCACTCACACACTCGCACAGCTCGGGAAAATGTGATGTGGGAACTTGCCGTGTTTTGTGCCGTGCAGGGGACTGGAGGAGGCACAGCACACACTGGCTGCCAGACTTGGGGAAGCGGAGGAGAAAATCATGATCCTTCACTCAGGTCAGTGACACGGGAAGAGATTTCACCTTCTCGGGGGGGCGCAGGGGAGGTGAGGGGGTGAATTACTAGCCAACATTCATCATCAGTCGCTTGGTTGCTACACGGCTGTTTGCAGGGACATCGCTGTGCGCAAATTGGCTGCTGCGTTCACCTGCAAAACAACAATTTTCCTGTGGTGCTGTATCAAATGCAGGAATTATTATTATTATTTTATTACAAATGACGCGATGAGGAGGTGTGAGACTCCCAGGGGCTGGGGGGGGGGAGGGGTGAGTGGTGGGGGCGGAAGGTAGAGTAAGTTGCAGTCTTGGTTTGAGCCAAACTCTGACGCTCTTTATTTTATCCCCCCCTCTGCCTCCCGTGACCTCGCTCAGCTCTCAAGACAACACAGACTGAACTGTTGCATCTGAGGTGTAAATACGACGAGGAGACAGCGTCCAAGTGAGTCACTGAGTCCGAGCGTTTGTCAGAAGTTCTTCCGAGAGAAGCACCAAAATGGGGAGGATCTCTGAGCTCATGTCCTGGCTAACCACCCTCCCCCCACCCGCCCAGCACACACCCCTGCTTTCTCCCAGGGACTGTGTGTGTGTGTGTGTGTGAGAGAGAGAGAGTGAAGGTTGATCAGCACTCTGGAGGACACAGTTTCATGTTGGGAAGGAGAGAGGGAGAAAGAGAGAGAAGGGACGAGAATGCACGATACACAATAGGATTGGGTTAAAAAGGCAGGAATCCGGAATTCAGCCGAGGAGGCAATCGGGAAATGTGAAAGGAAGCGCGATTGCCCGCGGCGTTCCGGAGGGGAAGATTGTGGAGAAATCAGCGTTTGCTGGGAAGACCTCCTGACGGCTATAAAAGTGTAATGTGTTGTTGTCGTCGTTGACAAATCCGCCAGTCAGGAATCCCGGCAGAGCGTGCCGTGCCTGCGTCCTGCCAGCAGGTGTCGCTAGCGAGCAATTCCAGTCATTGAGCAGTTGCTATTGGTGTTGCTCTGGGCCGAGCGAGGGAGGTTGTTAATGGCCGTGTGACAGGAGAAGGTGGGATTTAATGAGTGTCTATTAATACACGGGGACCTGTGAATGCTGAGGTGCAGAACGGCTGCAAGATGAAATATGTTAATTAACAATCAGGGCACGGCCATAAATAATTAACTCTTAACTTGGGAGTTTCCTGGTTGCTTTTCAGGTTGTGGTGAGATTGTGGGTGAAAAATGAAAGATTACCAGACATTGTCTCTGTATTTTTCTGTCTGTGTGTGTGTGTCTCTGTCTCTCTCTCTCTCTCTTCCTCTCCGACTATCCTCGTGCACCCACAAATGACACACAAATGGTGACAAATGGCCGGTTTTGATATTTCCACGGTGATGGAATCTGACATTGTTTTCAGGACGGACGAAGTTGAAATGATCATGACCAACCTGGAGAAGGCCAATCAGGTAAGCAAGCCGCTGTGTATATACAGTACACAACACGTCTAACCTATACAAATGCGCACAGTCTATACAGTCGATGCAACGGTAAATACAATGTCTAACATACATAATGTATTGAATGAATGATATATAATGTAACGTACAATACGTCCAGTTACAGTGTCCGGTGTCTGTGGGCGGGTGGAAGCAGATTAGAATTGAATTGTGAAATTGGTCCCTAAACTAATTTTTGGACTTTTTGTTATTTGTTTTTTTTGGGGGGCGGGCGGTGTGTGTGTGTGTGTGTGTGTGTGGACTTGGTTGCTTGCGTGTGTGTGGACATGGGTGCGTGCCTGTGGGTATGGGTGCGTGCTCGTGTGTGTGTGTGTGTGTGGGCATGGGTGCGTGCCTGTGTGTGCGTCGGTGTGTGTGTGTGTGTGTGGGCACGTGTGTGCGTGCGTGTGTGGGGGTTCATTTCCAGAGAGCAGAAGCTGCTCAGAGGGAGGTGGAGAGTCTCCGGGAACAGCTGAGCTTGGTGACGTCGCCGCGGTTGGGATGCCGTACACCGCCGGTGGCTGGTGTGGGGGTAAGGTGTCCCTGGAGCATTTCCTGTCTAACTGGGGCCCCTCGGTTCTCCCCTACCCTCACCCTCCTGTCTGCAGTTTAGCAAACCTGCCGGCGCTAACATTCCCTAACATGTAGCACACATGGGCCTAAAACCGGGTTCACCACAATTGTGGCCTCAATCCGAGAGGACAGGGAAATGGGAGAGCGCGGAGAGCAGAGAGGAATACTGCGACCCCGCATTCCCAGGCGGAGCGGAAAGACGGATGGAGAAAAGCAGCTTGATTCGATTGCGAAGGGGAAGGGGATTGGAGTGGCAGCCTGGGGTGGTGGGGGGGATGGTAGGACGGGGTGGAAAAGGTGGGGAGGGGAAGGTTTGTACTGAGGTGTCTTGCTGTTGTTGTTGTGCTGGGCAGGAGCTGGGAAAGGGGCTGACCCCCTGCTCGGGCTCCCCCCCGGGGGCACTGATGGCCGACAAGGACCAGGAGATCATGCGGCTCCTGAAGGAGATCCAGCGACTGCAGGCGGAGCTGAGCGAGCTCCAGGAGAGCTCGGCCAGTCAGGTGGCGACGCTGGAGCGTGAGCTGGCGGAGAAGACAGAGGCCGTGGAGGTAAACGCCGTGAGGGGGAGATAAAGGGGGGGGAAGGGGGGAGTGAGGGCACACAGCCAAAATCCCGTCCGGTCACACTGGTGCATCGCGACACTCATTGACGTTGGGAGTCTGCACTGCGCTGCTTTCTGACCCTCACTTTGTCTCCCTTTTCTTAGAGGCTGGAGGAGAAGCTCTGTGTCCAGTTGGACTATGAGGAAATCAAAACCGAGCTGAGGTGCGTGAGGGTGGGTCGCAGTGCGCGGCTGAAAAGATGAGAGTTTCGAGTCAATTGCGAAACCCTCAGTGATCTTTAATCAGATTTAACGTTCGGAGTCCTGTAGCGTAGTGGTTAGTGAGCTCGCCTCACAAGCGAGAGGACCCAGGTTCGATTCACCAGCGAGGGTGAAACTTTAAGCAAGTCTCCTTATTCTGCACACAAGCCTCAACTGTTTGTGGGACACTGCTGTGCGCAATTGGCTGCCGCGTTTAGCCCACAAAATATACAGTCACTACACTTTACAGCATATTCTGTGAAGCGCTTTGAGACGTCTCAGCGACATGAGGCGCAGTACCAAATGCAAGGATTATTATTAAAATGCAGATGGGTTCAGGGAGGTGGGAGAGAGCTGGATTAATGACTCAATCACGAAAAGAAAAGAGGTGATGAGATGGAGACAGAGAGATGGGGCGGGGAGATTTTAAGGCGATCGAGTTTCTGTTGGTGGCCATGCAAGAATGCTCGTTGCTTTTAACTTTATTTATTATCTTTTTTTATAGCATTTTAAAATCAATGAGCCTGGCGTCCGGAGGAGACTGTGGGTTACAGGTAAGCATGCATTTGTCTCTGATATTAATGTGTAACATGGAGTCATGTAGCTCAGTGGTTAGAGCACTTGCCTCGCAAGCGAAACCTTGGTTCAATTCCCAGCAGGGCAAAACATTGGCAAGTTTTATTACTCCACACGCCTGTTTACCTAGCAGTAAGTAGGAACCCGATTGATAGTCAATTGGCAGACTGCCTTTCTTCCAAACAAAAAAAATTATAATAAATTGGTCACTCATTCCAGGTTTGTGGGACACTGCTGTGCACACTTTCTCCCACAAAATGTACAGTCAATTCCCTCTACAATATATTCTGTGAAGTACTTTGAGACGTCTCGAAGATATGATGAGGCACTATATCAAATGTAAGGGTTATTATTTATTATAATCTGTTAACACAATAGGGAGATGCGGGGGGTTGTGGAGAGAATGAAACCCCAGCAATGATGGCCTTCAGTTCTATAATAGTTACAGGTTTTGTTCCCTCAAAAGAGAACCACCTGATGTGACGGGATTAATGGCTGTGAGAGCTTTGCGTTCAGGAGTGTTTAAAGGGTTAATGTTGGCGTCCAGGGCACGGTCACTCGAGGCGAGGACTCCCTCGCGGGGACGGAGGTGACTGGAGCGGTCGCGGAGAGCAGCCAGGGAGAGGACAGGAGCACACACCCTGACGTAGGTAGGATGACGGTTTTCTCTCCTCGCATTTCAGCAACACTATCTCCTCTCCCCTCCTTGCTCACACACACTCGCCCAATCGCTGCTTCCACACGTGTGCACACACGCGTGCACACACGGGCACACACACACATGCACACGCACACACGTCGAGCTTCAAGCTCACGGTGGTTGATTCACCTGGAAACCCCATCGTCAATCCACGTTTCAGCATCTCCAAATCAGACTGAGTTCCACGTGTACATCACACGCACGGATACCTCCCCGTATGTGGATTGGAATATGCGTGTTCTCTTTCTCTCTTTCTCTCTCTCTTGTGATCATAAGTCGCTCTATCCTGTGATCAGCGTGTGTATGTCTCCTCTCTGTTGAGAGCCAGTCAGTCTGTCCTGTGAACTGTGTGTATGTGTCTCTCTTTGTGTGTAATGCTCTCTCTCTCTCTCGGTATCAGTTGATGCTGATTGCCGTCTCTTCGTCCCAGGCTCTGCAGACAAGGATCATCCGGGTGAAGACCCTACGGGGGGAGTGGAGATCTCCTCCCCATCTCCCCGGCCAACTGCAGACCCCTCTCCTTCTCCCACCCCGACCACACCCAGCGATGACCCCCTGGTCCCGGGATCCCCAAAGGACACGGGTGGGACGCCAGGCAACCACGGGGGGCTCCGCTCTGCCCAGGGGGCTTCGCTGGTGGCAGGAGGGGCCGAGGTGGTGGGAGGGGCCGAGGTAGTCACTGAGGGGCCTGAGAGCGGCTCAAGCCTGGGGGACGAGGAGGCCCTGGAAACGACGGAGATCGCCTACCAGGTGAAAGAGCAGCTGCTCAAACACAACATCGGCCAGAGGGTGTTCGGTCACTATGTCCTCGCGCTGTCCCAGGGCTCGGTCAGTGAGATCCTGGCCCGGCCCAAACCCTGGCACAAGCTGACGGTCAAGGGCAAGGAACCCTTCATCAAGATGAAGCAGTTTCTCTCTGACGAGCAGAACATTCTGGCTCTGAGAACCATCCAGGTCCGACAAAGAGGTACGTGACCTTGATTTGATCGTTCTCTCTGTGGCCGTGCTCCGAGCTGGTCACTGTCTCTCACTGGGCTCCAATACTGACCCTAACCCTGGTGTCTCTCTCCCCTCCCTCTCTCTCTCTCTCTTTCTCCCCTTGCCTTCTCTCTCACACAGGCAATATAACTCCCAGGATCCGGACTCCGGAGACAGGATCCGACGAAGCCATCAAAAGTATCCTGGAGCAGGCCAAGCGTGAATTACAGACTCAGAAATGTGGTAAGTGGGTGTCAGCGTATTCACTCCCTCTCTCCCTCGCTCACTCGCTCGGGTGCAGCTCAGTCTCTCACCCTCTGAGGGTGAGGCTGAGGGTCGTTGGTTCAAGCCCCCGGGGAAGGGAAGAGAGAGCTTGCGGGGGAAGAGTATTTTGAGTGCACCATCTAGGATGGTCCAACCGCATTTAGCACCTTTCACATTGTCGAGACGTCTCAAAGCGCTTCACAGGATATACTGTAAAGTGTTTTTTTGACTGTATTTGGTGGGCGGAACGATGATCTGTCAGTTAGTTGTTCAGCCGGTCGTCTGTCGGTCAGTTTGTGGGAAGTGTTTGTGTTGGGGAAGGGCTGATTTTTTTGTTTGTTTTTTTAGTTGAGCCCAAAGACTCGCCGGCGCTGGCAAGCGGGGGAAACAGCGGTGGCGGGAACGCTGGCAACAACGGCAACAGCAGCGGACACGGCGGGGGCTCTGACGAGGCCATTCGCACTATCCTGGAGGCCGCGCGGCAGGAGATGCAGGCTCAGCGCCGGGCACTGCTGGCCATGGAGGGAGCGGGGGGCGAGGAGAGCGCTGCCGGGTTCTACTGCCCACCCAGTGAGGAGAACCCTCCTCCAACTGCTGATAGGAACGAACCCCTCCTTCCCGTCTCCGTCAAGCAGGAGGAAGAGGAGAATGGAGAGGGCGAAGGCGGCGGAGAGAGCATGGCCCATCCCCCTCTTGGCCCCGTCTCTCCCGCCGCGTTCGTCCAGAACATCATCCGCAGAGTCAAGTCCGAGATCGGAGACACTGGCTCCTATTTCGAACAACACTGGGCGGCTGAGCAGAGTGGGAGCGGCAACGGGAGCCAGCGGCTCGAGACCTCCCCCTCCCCCTCTTCCTCATCATCCTCATCATTCTCCGGGTCGGGCTCAGGAGGGAGCGTCCACAGCAGGCACCGGCGTCACGAGACCGGTGAGGAACAGAAACCAGATGGGGAGGGGGCGAGGAGGAGGAGAAGGAGGAGAGCGGAGGTGATGGCGAAGGTGAAGGTGGAGGAACCGCAGCCCCCCGTCCGCGCGGAGACCCCCAGCCTCGCCCCCGCCGTCCTGCCCACCTACCCCCCCCGCTCACTGAAGCCCACCGTGCCGCCCCTCACACCGGAGCAGTACGAGGTTTACATGTACCGGGAGGTGGAGACGGCTGAGCTGACCCGGCAGGTGAAAGAGAAGCTGGCAAAGAGCGGCATCTGTCAGAGGATCTTTGGCGAGAAGGTGAGAGGTTAGGGGAGGGTAACCGCACACTCACCATCTCCGAGGGCGGGGGGGGGTGGGGGGGATGGACACCATCATCATTATCTGATTATTATTCCACCTTCGTAAAATCTATTATTATTATTATCGTATTTATTATTTCGTATACAAATTTTCAAGGCTGAGATGGATAGAGTTTTTGTTAGTTCAGGGTATAACAACAACAGCAACAACTTGCATTCATAAGGCGCCATTCATGTGGGGTAGTGTCCCAGGTATCAAGGATTATGGGGCAAGGGCAGGTAATTGGAATTGAGGGACAGATCAGCCATGGTCCAAGAGAATGGGTTCCTACTTCCTGCTCTGGTGGGTTTTGTCCATCGTGGAACAGAATTGAAGACTGGCGAACTAATTGTGCTTCTCTCCCTCTCTGCCCCCCCCCCCCCACCACCCCATCCTCCCCTAGGTGCTGGGTCTGTCCCAGGGCAGTGTTAGTGACATGCTGTCCCGACCGAAGCCCTGGGGGAAGCTGACACAGAAAGGCCGTGAGCCCTTCATCCGCATGCAGCTGTGGCTGGTGGGCAAGTTAGAGCAGAGTGAGCCCCTCGGGGAACCCGGGCCAGGTGGGTGACTCTCACTCTCTCTGTCACTCTCTGTCTTGGCTCTCTCACACTTCTCTCTCTCTCTCTTTCTCTGTCGTGCTCTGTCACATTCTCTCGCTCTGTCACACTCTATTCTCTCTCACACCTACACTCTTGCTCGCTCTGTCACACTTGCGCTTTGTCAAAATCTCTCCCTCAAGCGCTTTGTCACACTCTCGCTGTCCGTCTCTCTCACTCTGTCACACTCTCTCTCTCTTGCTCTGTTACACATTTTTCCCCTTTCTCTGTTTGTCACAGCGAAGACCCTGTATTCCCCATCGCCTCCGCCCAGCCCCCCGGAGTGGTTGCAGGGGGTAGAGGAGGTGCCGGGGGCCGGGCCGGAGAGCAGCAAAGAGAACCAGCAGCCAGCAAGCGCAGCAGAGTCTCCGTCCCCGGTCCCGGCAACGGTTCCTCCTCGCGGCAAATCCCCGGCAAACGGGCAGCCGCCCGGCGGCATACAGGAGCTGGTGGCCACCTCCGGAGAACTCGACACCTACAGCATCACCAAGAGGGTGAAGGAGGTTCTGACGGACAATAACTTGGGTGCGCTCCATTTCCCTCTCGTGCACACGCTCGGAGAGACACTCAGAGAGAGAGAGAGAGAGAGACAAACACCACAGAGAGATATACAGCACATTTCTGATAACCAGTCACTAACGCTTAATTTGCCGAGCTGTCAATGTCCCGGCCGCATCTTACTTATGTATTTTTACTCACCCTTAACTTGCCACTCTGCTAACTTGCCCACTCCCTCCGCTTGGCAGTCACTGAGTGTCCCCTGTCTATCTCCCCCCACCCCACCCCTCAACTGCCCACTCCACCATCGATGGTTGGGCCTTCAGCCTTTCTCCCCCAGAATCTCTACGCCTCGACCCCTTTTCCCTGCCTCCTTCAAGGCCTGCCTCAAGACCTTCCTCTTCGACCGCGCCTTCGGTCACCCTCCTATCCCTATCCTCCCTGCCCCCCCCCCCCCATAATTGAAGAGGAAGGGCATTGACTTGTAGTCGGAGGGAGATCAGTACTGTATTGCAATTTGAGAGTCTGCTTCCTCTCCACAGGTCAGAGGCTTTTTGGGGAGAGCATCCTGGGGCTGACACAAGGCTCCGTCTCCGACCTGCTGTCGCGGCCAAAGCCCTGGCACAAGCTGAGCCTGAAGGGCAGGGAGCCCTTTGTCCGCATGCAGCTCTGGCTGAACGACCCCTACAATGTGGCCAGACTGAGAGACATGAAGAAGATAGAGAAAAAAGGTGACTTGACTCAACGTGCTGTCAGCCACTAGGCACTGAAACTTCGTAACTCTCTCCCTCAATCCCTCCGCCTACCCCTGGTCACGCCTGAAGACCTTTCTCTTTGACCGTGCCTCCCCCTGGCTCGGCCCGGTGCTCCGCCACTGTCAAGCGCTCCGAGACGCTGCCCTGCGTGAAGGGCCCTATGTAAATGCAAGTTGGTTGTGGTTGTGTTTTCCGGCTGCCGATTTTGCACACGGTAAATATCCCACAAACAGCTGGGAAGTGAAGGAGTGTTTTTATTTGGGAGATTGATGGCTCGGCCGTTTGATGCATTTGTGTTAACTCTCTGTTGTACTTTCTCTCCCACCCACCCACCCACCCCCCCCCCACCCCCCGCGCCACATATACACACACAGCGTACCTGAAGCGTAGGTATGGCCTGATAAACGCTGGCTCTGACAGCGACTCCCCCAGTAACCGCTCAGAGTCAGCCAGCCCCGGCCCCCCGGCACACGGCCCACCCGCCCTCAGCCTCCATCACTGCCAAAGCAAGAAGCCCCGGGTGGTGCTGGGGCTCAAGGAGAAGGAGACCCTGAGAGAGGCCTATCAGCTGGAGCCGTACCCCTCCCAGCAGAACATCGAGGCTCTGGCCTCCCAGCTCCACCTCCGCACCAACACCGTCATCAACTGGTTCCACAACTACAGGTATTGTCACTGGCAGTGGTCTCTACAGCGCTGCTCGGCTCTGTGTGTCGATCTGTCTTGTCAGTCGGTATGCGTCTGTCTATTGGTGTGTGGTTGTGTGTGTGTGGTTGTGTGTGTGTGAGGTTTACATTGAGATGAACTCCGCTGACCTGGTCTCGTTGACCTCTGCAGATCACGGATTCGGAGAGAGTCGCTGGCCGGGGAGCAGCAGGGCAATGACACGGACCCGGAGATGCTGGCGACGGCGGGGAGCGAGGGAGGAGGGGGGCTCGGCAGCCCCCTGAGTCCTGACTCGGGCGCTGACGAAAGGAAGAGCGGCTTCGGTGAGGATGGGAGCGAGCGGGCGCCGGTGGTGATCAAGCAGGAAGCTCCCGACGACCCGCGCGGGGGTGAGGAAGAGGAATGTGATTGCGGCTTTGAATACCAGTCGGGGGGCGGCAGCACAGCCTGGTGCCAGGCTGGCTGGGTGCCCGGCGTGGTGAAGCGGGAGAGAATGGGCGCCGGTTACCCCGACGAGCCTCGATCACCGAAACCCACCACCGTGCTTCACATCCAGAACCCGCAGTGTCTGATCATCGGCTGCGACAGACCCTCAGCGCTCTCTCCCGAGGCCTCGGATGATGTTCCGGAGCACGCTTCTCGTGCTTTCTCTGTGTTGCGAGGCATTGCTGTTGCGGTGAATGGCTCACCGTGCGGCCGGTACAACGCGGAGTCCGGCCCAGGCGGGCCGGGGGCGTCTGTGAATTCCCCCTCGGCCACTTCCTCGCCCGGGCTCCTGCTCTCCATCTCTCCAGTCCCCTCCTCCTCCTCCTCCTCGCCTTCCAACTCGGCTGCCTCTCCCGGGGACCGGGGGGTCCCGGCTGGGAGCGAGAATGAGAGAGACGCGGCTCCTGGCCCAATGACTGCCGCCGCCGCTGCCACACGGCTGAACCGAAGTGTCCAGAGGCGCAACGAGAAAATGGCCAACCTCAACAACATCATCCACCGCCTGGAGAGAGCCGCCAATCGGGAGGAGCCCACAGACTGGGAATTTTGAGGAATACTTTTGTTACGTCGTGCGTGTGTATATGCGTGTGTGTGTATGCGCGTGGGTATGAGTTTCGAGCGCTCCGGGACACTGCCCTGCGTGAGGGGTGCTATATAAATGCAAGTTGTTGTTGACGTCCACCCGTTGCCGGTCCGTTTCGCCGACATTGCCGGTCCTTCTCGCTCCTCCCATCACCGGGCGGAACCCCGAGAGAACAGACACCTCGGAAAATCAGGAAGGATTTTAACCTTTGTATTGAAACTCGGCTCCTTTGTGCCGAGCTCCTTCGGCAAAGCCAGAACTCCAGTAAATACAAAGCAAAACAGAAGAGAAACGTGTGTTTGTGTGTGTGCGTGTGTGCACGTGTGTGTGTGTGTGCGCGTGTGTGTGTGAGCGCGTGCGGAGAATTATATTATTGATCTTATTTTAAAGGAGAAACAAACTGGGAACAGGTTTTAGAGAAAAATTATTTATTTGTAAATGACTTCTATGAATTAATGACTCTGAAGAAGCTCCTTTGTCGCTGGGGGGCAGTTTTCCTACTGATGACGGGAGTTACCAAGAGACGTTTTACTTTGTGCCCTTAAATGCAGTCCTGTTGTTGGACGCAGGAAGAGATTATGAGACGCTATGAGACGTCTAAAAAGCCATTACACAGCACTATGATCCAGAAGGGGTGACCAAATGTGCTCGCTCACAGACAGTCCACAACTGTTTGAACCTTTTATCTCTCTCTGTCTCTCTTTGTTACTGTATGTCTTCAAGACAAGAAAGTGTTATTAAGTGCGCGTGTGAACTTTGCGAGTATAGTCAAGAAGACTTTAAAAAAAAGGAACGAAACCTCAAGAACCATGGACTATGTACTTTAGTTATCAGTTGTGTATTTTCGAAACCTTTGTAACACAGGGTGTTATGTGCAATTGTATATATGTTGTAGAAAATCTTCTGCAATAGCCTTCTTGAACAAGCTGCAGCATGGAACACGATGAACTCTTCACTCTTCACCTTACTCCTCCATCTCCCATTGTCATTCATTGTGCGTCCTTACGCCCGCAGTAAAAAAAAACACAGCGAATCGAACGGAAGAAATATTTTCGGGGTGGGGGGGGGACGATTTCCAATTTCTTCCCTCCTCCCGCCCCCATCTGCATCGTGGAAATTCCGAAATCGAACCGCAAAGGAGGAGGGAGAAACGATTTTGAGACTTTTTTTTTAATTTAGAAGAGAAAAGGTGTGACCTGCGCAGCGTCCTGGTTGGTTTGCTTTGGTTGGCAGTTTTGGTGAACAGCACGGTTCTTTCCACCACGTCCGAAACGGCGCACCTTCGGCGGGCGCGCACTTCAAACCGCTCGCCCTCTGGTCGGAGTTGGGTTTTACGATGCACTCAATCTCATGGCGTTGGTGCGATCTCACCGTCCCGTTCAGGGATGTGGGTCGATCGCTGGTTCCGGGCATCTTCGCGACGGTCAATTTCCTACCATTTTCGAGTGTTACCAAGTCTTCAGCCCTCCCCGCCGCTGCCCATCCTCATGACCCCACCAATGTACTCGATCACATTCAATACCCCACCTGCTCCTTTTTATTCCTATGTCCACATTACCTCTTGTCTTTGTTTTTTTTATTTATATATCTATATAAAAACCACAAGGAAGGCAGATCTATGTTTTGGCCGCTGTAGTCTTTCTCTGCATTTGGCCACTAAATACAGTATATTTCTGTTTGCATTGTGTATGTGTTTTGGTGTGCAGCTTGATTTCTCAGAGGATCCTTCCATCTTTTTTTTAAAAAAAAAATGCCATTTGAACACTCGCTCAGGGTCAGATTTTGAACTAAAAGGGTCCAAGAACGGAGACAGATCACCTTCAACAAAGGCCATTCAAGATCGTTTCAGCTCAAGAACCGTGCGTGTCTTTTTGAAGATGCTTCGTGTGAACTTTGGGTGGAGCATTCCAAATGCTTATTACAACCCCCCCACACCACCCCAGCCTCTGGGTCGGTCTCCCTGTCTATCCCTCTGTCTCAACCCCACCCCACCCCTCACTCTCCATCTATCTTCAAATCCCAACTTAAAACCTACCTCTTCGACCTTGCTCTCTCCTGTAGATATGTTCAATTCCCTTGAATGTTTGTGAAACACATGGAGAGCTGGGAGTAACAATCGGCATGCTGTTGGCCAGGCCTTCTTGAGCCAGCAACTTCCAACTGAAGAGTGAGTATGGCGGGTAACGTTTTGATAATATTGTCCCTCTTACCCCTCCTTGCTGCAGCTAGTGCGGTTCACCAGTGATTTACTTGGTTACTTGTCTGTTTTTCCTCCCCTCGTTCTCAAAATTACTTTTGCTGAAGATGAGCCTGAGTTTGCTTCAACACGAGTGACCATTCTACAAAACTTGGCCCCTTCGTTAAAGCCACAGTCAGAAGGGCAGCCTTTATTTTGCATGTTGGTGGTCACTTCAAAGTCAAGTACCACCCTTTAGCTGGACAGGAGAATCACCCCTACAGCTCCAGTGCAGAGAAAAAGGCATAAAGATAAATTATTCCTGACATTTGATACAGCGCCTTTCAAGCCGGGAGGACATCTCGAAGCTCGCAATTTGATATGAGAGAGCCGCCACTCAAATAAAATAAATCAAATGCTTTAACTTGGAAAAGGTTCTTTATTTCATAGAGAACATTTTACATGGCGTAGTATTATGAACTAAAATAACTCGCNAAAAAAATTGATAATTTGTTCATGCAATCATGCAACAACCCGAGATTGTCCAAAAGTATAATGCAAATATTTAGAAACATTTTGACAAGTTTGCAGAGATATTGTGCGCTACTTATTTTAGAGTCCCTAATCACCAATGAATTAACACACAAAGGAACACATTCAAAATTCCCCTACAGAAATACTGAATCACAATATACTAAAACTATATTCATGTAGTGTTTTCCATAAAGGATGTCTTGAACCCAATACTGTAGAAGTGAGACTTTTAAGGTCAGAGCATCAAAAGCACAGTCATTATTTGAAGTACCGATAGTACAGCACAATGGAGATAACTTGATTGACTCATTGAACGAAAGGAGCCTTGTATTTTAGAATTGACCAATTTTTGGACACTTAAGTTCAGTGACCTGAAGTTTAAGTTGTCCATTTAATACGATCAACATTCCTCACAGACTGCATTAGCCTGTCTGTCTCCTGCCATGGATTTGTTTTTCTGTACAGTAAACTGATAACTCGTCACTCCAAGAGGAAAGAGCTGTGACAAGTTGTCCGGAGTGGTAAGTTAGGCAAATATACAGACAGGATACTGATAGCATGACGTCTTGCCTTAAGTGGTAGTGACGAGTCAGAGTCAAGTTATCACTTTATTAATTTACATCAACCCCTAAAAAATGTTGGCTTTTCCCCCCCCCACACTTACAAAAGAGACAGCTTAATGCGGGATTCACCATAAGAGGATCAGGGACAACACCCACCTAGAACATTTTTGAGGAACATTGTCAAAAGATCACGGCTACACTCTTCACAGTAGGATAATAAATTGCACATTGCTACATCAATACAAGGCAACAGCCAGCAATAAGGTAGGGTGTATGAAATGTTATGGGGATGCTTTTAAATAGACCGTAATTGCAGTGTTAAGAATCCCAACAGTAACACTGCTTGTGACTTGTTCAGCAAACCTAATATCCATTGGCAAAGTTTTCTACGCTTATGATCTATCTGATAGATATATGTGACCCACATTGGGGAGAGGAAGCCTTTAGATTGTAATACTGATTGGTAGTAAAGTGCAGTTATTCGCCAAGGCAAATGTAATGAACTTCTGTATTACTATCTATAGGTCTGCTATTGCTGCCTCTCAAGTCAATCCGTGGGTTCGTTCGAGAATATCGCTTGTTACTAGCAATGTGCAAGATTATGGCAAGTGCTGTTCATTGCACAGGTTGAAGTAACTTTTTCTGAAGGAGTGTTTTATATAGGACATTACAGCTAATACATTCTACGCTTAAAAATTAAACCACATGCTATTTTTTCAGGATTGTGACAACATAAAATTAACAGTATAAAAACGATGAGGATTTATTACTAGATGTATCAATTGATTGAAAGTATGTGCAGTTCAGCTCTACAGAACTAGCAAAGTAGGTTTTTCTATAGCATTTATAGTACCCATTGGTTCTTTTACTTGTAATTCAGTAACGTGCTCAAGAGCTCAGGTCATTAAAAGGCATCATGCACCAATTTTTTTTAACTGTAAAGCAAAATTTTAAATAAAAATAAGAATGTAGATTAATAACCAGGACATGAGCTGGGAACATGAGGCAGGGCTCTGCACTTGCAAAGGAATGCGTTACTGCTTGTGTACTGGTAGGCAGTGTTTTGGCTCCTGGTTTTAAATTGACGTAACTTCTGACCAGAGTGAGTTGGATACACAGTGTTTTCTCACAAGCAGTCACTCATCCTACATGCAAGTCCATAACACTGCACAGGCCTCAAACTCACTTGATTTTTCCTTTGATTGTAAGAAAACAATGTTTCATCTGTTAATTTGGATCTGGCAAAACTATGGAACTGGACTCCCCATATGTTTAAATCAATAGCACACACAATTTGTTTTTTTTTTAAAATACGTCTACACGACATAGTGTTCTAAAATCATTTTAAAATCATTCTGCTAAAAACACTACGTGCCTTGTGCTTCAAGAGTTTTAAAAAACCCTAATTTAATTTTCATCTTTAATAAACCGCGTTACCCTGGCTCCACTGCACTTTCACGATGGTCACTTTTGAAAAAGCTACTTTTACAAATGCCCGAAAATGAAGGCTGTCTGAAACTTGTCTTAAGTATATTAACAGGGTGGGGGGGAAGTCACGATCCCCAAACTGATACTCATCACATGGGTATAAATTTGAATGGGGTTGGGGGCACCGAGCTTGTGTGGAACAAAGAACAGGACTAGGGATAGTTGAATTGAACAGCCTGTTTCCATGAATGGCCTGTTACCACTCTTAACATTTTCACTCCTTCGTTTCCTTCCATCTGACATATGGCTCCCAGATGCCTTGCAACTAATCAAGTGCAACCTTCTTGTCTTTTTCAGCAATAATACCTTTCCCCACCCGGGCACTGGGATGGCCAAGCCTTGCTCTGTCCCTCAATAGCTAAAGTTCTTTGATTGAAAAGCAGTTGCTAAACAAATAGTCAATGATTATGTAAGAACCTGTTTGAATATTCCAGCAATTCGATCGTAAAGTACAGACTTTGATTGCAATGGAGATAAAGCTTTCCTCATAATTACAAAAAAAACCAATTGATATTGGATATACATTGATTGACTAGCATGGGGGGGGGGGATTAGCTCTATATATATATATATATGTTCAATCTGAAATTACCCTCCCCCCAGTTCCCTTTCAGGGAATTTTACCGGTTAAAATACGAGACAATTACGAAATACTGGTAGTGTAATATTTCAGCACTATCTTTGGACTGGTAAGGCAAAGTAAATTAGTCTTTTGAGAGATCCAGGTCAGTGCCGACAGAGCTGACAAACAGGTACATGTTCAATAAAGATCTCCCCCAGGTCCAAGGAGCCTGGTAGCACCACCCCCCCCAAAAAATCTCTTCCCCTGACCCCCATCCCCAAATATCTCCCCAACCCCCCCCAACACACACAATATTCCCCCCACCCTGCTGGCTTGGGGTTCAAACTCAGCACTGACCAGAAGCATACCATTCTCTACAACAAGGTGCATTTACAATACAAAATTACATTTGTTTAGAGCCTTTTATGTCGGGAATTCAGTTTACCACTGAACTCTCACATTAGTGTTTGGAACTGAGATGGTGAATTCTTAGGAACGCACAAAAATTCCTGCATGCGGGGAGGAGGAAGAAAGAAAGATGTTTCACCTCTTACAGTAATGTTAAAACCTGGGGAGTAGCAAAAGTTATTTCTTTTTTTAAAAAAAATCTATTTCAATAGCCGGTGGAAGCTTGGCAATTTGAGGTATTGATTGAAAATGACTGGCATGTTTCGCAAGGAGGATGTTTTTTGTTTTTTTAGTCAAAAAGAATATCTGCTCTTTTTAAAGGAAAGTTCCACGGATTGCACCTGTCCGAAAGGAGACAGAAACCAAAAAGGCAAATTATGTACAATGTCCATCCAACCTCCTCCTCATGTTCCACCTCAATGATAGAAACAAGTTAAAATGGAGGCGAGTGTACAGTACCAGCTGTATTCCTCCTGTGGAAACATCTATTTAACTGTAATGTCAAGGTGTCGGAGGCAGAATTAACTCAAAAACCCCGAGCATATCTTAAGAGGTGGTTGTAATGCAAGATGAGTTTAATTTTTGGTTCAACTAGTTTGAGGCTGATGTGAGGCAGCGTCGTTCTGAAGCTTGTTCTCGTTCCACTGCCGCCGCAGCTGAAGGACTTCAAAGCCGAACCATTCGTGCATCCTAGAGAAACTGGAGTTACCCGACCCTGCGGGTTCCTGAGCGAGCAACTGACTGCAACTCGCAGATGTCATTCCGACTGAGCCTGGTCGCCGTCTTGGTGGGAGAGGCGGAGGAAAGCGCTGCGTGTGTATTGGGATGTCGGGTGCATGGTCTGATACAGACTTCAGGGAACTGTTAGAATTACTACCAACAGCAGTGCCGTTCAACTCTTGTGTGGTGCTCCAGAAGGCATAGCCGTTTTCCTTTGTGGTGCTCCCGTAACGTGCAGAGGGTTCGTGCAGGACTTGTGGCCCAATTTGGGGACTGCTTGAATGTTTTCTTATCATTGATCTTTTTTGGCTTCTGCGAGCATTTAATCTCTTTTGCTGCATTTCTTCCAACTGCTTCTCAAGTGCCTTAACAACAATCCGCATGTAGTCGAAGCTGGCACGAGATAGAGCTTTAACCCAGGACTCCATTTCCCTTTGGCTTTCAGCGGACATTTTATAAGTCCGCGATTTAGCACTTTCAAACTTGATTGCAAAGGCATACTCCTCCGAAGACACACACAATTCCACGGTACAACCCTCAAGAATGATCACTCCAACAGGTTCCCTGCCTTCCCTTTCTTCAAAGTAAAACAGTAAGTTGCCCTTCAAAACAAACCAGCGCCTGTGATAAGCAGTGTTCCGCTCCCCCTTCTTATGCAAGTATCCAGTCTTGTCCGTAGGGGAGTCACAGGTGGCATAGTAGGCCACACTCCGCTCATTGAACTTCATAATTGTTTCTGAAAAAACAGATTAAAAAATACAGATTAAAACACTTGTCTCTCAAAGACAAACAGCCACAGGCTCACTTTGACTTTTTTTAAAAAAAATTCAGATGAAAGACCAGGGCAAAGGGTCTGTCCAAGTATCTGTTCCTTTGGGTCCAATGTTCTCATCCACCCCTTTTCTAGTAACTTGTTCCATCTGTCAGTTACCATCTGTGTAACCAAACATATTTCCTAGTGCTTGAAAAACTTCCGAGTTTATTTATCTTATACACTTTTACAAGGTTTTCTCTGGCGCGCCACTTTTCAAGGCTGAAGTACCCAAGGTTAGAAAGATGTTTCTCACAGCTCAGTCCCTCAGTCTTGATATCAAAAATAATAAGATCTACACAGAAAGTTCAACTCTTGCTTTCAGAGTATGAGGAGGAGGATTATTTAACTGTGGATTAAGAACTCATCAGTCTGTCCTTCAGTGAGCTACAATAACAAGAACAACAGCACCGACAAATAGCAACTTGAGTTGCTCAAGACTGAAGCTAAACTGTCATCTGTTAAAACCAATGCCCTTTACAAGAAGGTAGCTTATGTTGAGCTCTGTGAATATATTTGATTACTGAGGCTTTTTTTTAAGAAGAAAAGCTGTGAAAGTACACAGGAAACACCAAGAACAGAAGTGTGAAGATAAAGCGAACTGTCTGTGGGAAAGAACTCTTAAGTCAAAACTCAAGCATGACGACTTTTTAGCTATTTCAGGAATATTAATAATAATAATAATAATCCTTGCATTTGATATAGCGCTTTTCACGTCGGGAGGACGTCCCAAAGCGCTTCACAGAACACACTATAAAGTGAATTGACTGTATATTTTTGTGGGCGAACGCAGCAGCCAATTGTGCACAGCAATGTCCCACAAACAGTCGTAGATTGAAAATGACCAATTTATTATTGTTTTGGGTTTTTTGGAGGGATTATTATTAGGCTCTGTGTGGAGTAAGGAAATTTGCACTACCACTTCCTTTCTGAGAACTCATACTTAAGTCCTGTAGCTCAGTAGTTAGAGCACTCGCTTTACAAGAGTTCAATTCCAGGCAGGTCAGGGCGAAACCTTGGGCAAGTTTCCTTACTCCACACACAGAGCCTGATAATAATCCCTCCAAAAAAACAAAAACAATAATAAAAAATTGGTCATTTTCAATCTACGACTGTTTGTGGGACATTGTTGTGCGCAATTGGCTGCTGCGTTCGCCCACAAATATACAGTCAATTCACTTTACAGTGTGTTCTGTGAAGCGCTTTGGGACGTCCTCCCGACGTGAAAAGCGCTATATCAAATGCAAGGATTATTATTATTATTAAGTGCCGTGGGGGAGCATTAATGGCCAACAGCAGCTTTCACCAAAAATCCCAACTCAGCACTTTCAAACGGGCGAAAACCGAAAGCTTCTCTGCCTTCAGCTTGCTTCGCTCCTCTCTTCTGCTCCTTGCATTGCATCGCACCGCCACTGACTGTCACTGTGCGAGCCGCCAACGTGGCAAGTTGCTAAAAGAAGAGGCAACTTTTCTGATGGATAGAGTAGATAGATAGATAGATAGATAGATAAGATAGATAGAGAAGATAGATAGATAGATAGATCTCCGATCCACCTTGACGCGCAAAAAGCAAATCGAATGACAGAACAAAAATGCACCGGTGGGGGCAACTGAAAACAACCTTCCCAACATTTCCCCTTAAACCTCCCTTCCCTTCCCTTCCCAAGGTGGGTGGGGGGGGGTGGGGGGGGGGGGGGGGGGGGGGAAACAGCAGCTCATACGTGGAACCATCCGGATCCAGAGATCCTTTGCGTGGCTCGCTTTACCTGCCTGCGGGTCGCTTCCCCCGTCAACTCAACCTCAAAGGAGAAGGTTTCGACCCCCCCCCCCCCCCAAAAAAAAAACAAACACCAGGGAAGTTTGCAGGAGCCCCCAATGGGTGCAGCCCCGGCGCGTGCGCACTCGGCAGAAAGGCGAGACGGACGCGGGCGGGCGGGCGGGCGGGGGGGAGGGGCCTAGAACGCGCGTGCGCAAAGCGCACACCCGCCCACGCCCCTCCCCTCCCCCCTCACCACCACCACCACTCCCGGACGAACCATAACCACGACGACGAAATCAATCAATAACCGTCAATGAGAATGACGGATGTCCCCCTCTCCCCCTCCCCCCTCCCTACCGCTACCCATCTCTCTCTGTATGTACTTTTATTCGTTTTTTTTAAAAAAGAAACTCGAAGCGAAGCAAAAAACAACAACATTCGCGTCAGAGGGGAGTGAGAGGAGGGAGGGGGGGGGGAATAAAAGAAGGAGCCGGTAAGTTAAACGGCGGGAAGATATCGCTCGGTGTTCGACTCACCGGCGGCCGGTACAGTCGGGCTCGGGCGCCGGCGTTTCTCCCCGTGTTTGTTTATTTTTTTAAAAAAAAAATTTCTTTCTTCTTCTTCGCCGTCCGTTTGTTTTGGGGACGTTTGAAACGGGGTCGGATGCGGCTGACGTCACGCACGGGCACGGCACGCCCTCGCGCGCGCACGTGCCCGCGCACGCACGCACTGCACGCACGCTCTCCCGAAGCTCCTCCCTCTCCGTGACGTAACTTCCCCCCCCCTCCACCACCCATTGACCCACCTCTCTTCCCTCCCCCATTGATCCACTTCCCTTTATTGACCCACTTATTGACCCACTATTGATCCACTTCCCTTTATTGACCCACTATTGATCCACTTCCCTTTATTGACCCACTTATTGACCCACTATTGATCCACTTCCCGACCCCCTTGTTGACCCACTTCTCTCCCACCCGTTGACCCACCATTGCTCCCCCTCCCCGCATTGAGGCGACCTTGTGTCCCCTCCCCAGACCAGAGTTACAACAACGACAACTTGCATTTACAACAGCACCCTTCACGCGGGGTGGCGTCCCGGAGCGCTCGGCACACGTGGCGGGGGTCACGTGCCACGACACATGGAAATGACCCCGTGCCCGGCAATGGACACAATTCTGCTTGATGTCGTCGTTGAATTTGTTGTGCTCAATCGTGTACCAATGTGCTGTCGGTGATACTTATTTTAAAAAAAACCTGTTCCTTAAAAAAACTGTGTGACTCTTTCTCATAAACATATTGATCAGAATTTTCTTGAGACTGTACCGATCGATCTATCCATGTCATTCAATATCATCTCTGAGGCGCCGTCCAGCGGGAAGGGCACTATATGTTATCAATGCAAACATAACACGTAAATGTAACAATCCAATCTGGTGGGATCCACATGATTGGTGACAGGTAGGCATTCCCTAATCAATTGAGCATGCTTTAGGATGGAAATGACTGCAAAGAGTGGAAATAGTTTGGTCATTCAACCCCAATGGTCTAGTGAATAGAGCTGCATCTTGGAGACTGAGCGCTTGCTGGTTCGAATCCTGATTCGTACTGAGATTGCTGGACTCGGAGAGGGCTGCGTAGACCTGACCTTCCAAGGGTCACGCGGGGAAAAGAAAGCCAGTTAGGTTTTGCTCTTGTTCCGTCTTCAGCACCCTCTTCTGGTTGTGTGCATGCGTGGCGACACGAGTGAGGAGAGGTCAGAGTTGGCTTGGCTGTGCTGCCCTCTACAGTCGAGTGGCCTTGACACTCACTGACAAGGCTCACATATGAACATGCCCATTTTAATAAATAATCCTTGCATTTGATATAGCGCCTTATCACGTCTTCAACACGTCTCGAAGCACTTCACGGAATACACTGCAAAGTGAATTGACTGTATATTGTGTGGGTGAAAGTAACCAAAGAGCAACCAGATCCCTTGGTGTCGCACCTGATTATGAAGAGGCGTCCAGGAGCGAAGAGAGGTATGTGGGGCAAAGGGAGGGGAAGAGAAAAATTAGAAAAGAATTAAACACGCTCTTATCCTTTTTTTAAAAAAAAGTAGGTAGAAGATGGGAGACTTGAGCATGCTGAAAATCCCCACCATATGGAACCACCACTACATTAGCACCAGTCATCAACAACTTACATTTATATAGCACCCCTCACCCAGAGTAGCGCCTCAGAGCACTTGATATCCCACCCAAGGGATTCCTCTCGCTCTTTACACTGATTGACGTTTTTTTCATCAGTCGATAACAATAAAGCAGCTTATAATTCTTCTGTGAAGTGCTTTGATACGTCTTAACAACGTGGTAAGGCGCTACATCAAAAGCAAGGATTATTATTACATTTAATGCAGCATCGTGCCTGACATTACATTATTTCTCAAAGTTAATTGTAGTCAAGTGTGGTGACTATTTGTAGGTAAATATGCCAACTAGTTGACACAAATAGCGATAAGGTGAATGGCCAATTAAAATTGAACAAAAACTCTTGCCCAAAAATTATAATAAAAAGGTGAAGGTTAAAGGGGAAAAAAATTTACAAAGCTCATTCGGGAAAGGAGAGGGAAACTATTGGCCTGAACACAAGAAAAATGTACAGAAGGAAATAAAAGGCTTAGGGGAAGCAAGAGAGCTGGAAAGGGAAATAACAGCACCTTGGGATGTCTTCCTGACATGCAACTATAAATGTAAATTTGTATTGTATAAATGCAAATGAAAAACATACTGACGAAAACATTATTTCAATAATACAACAATGAGAGGATAGTCAGGGATCCAAAGGACATTGACAAGGAGAACAAACAGGAGATAGCAAACATATTAAACAGTTCCTTGAGGTGTTTTTTATATACCAGTGATGACACTAAAAATAGGTCACCCACAACATCAAGCAAACATAATTTGAGCTCCAGGGCTTTGACACTGGGATTCAGATATGATATGATATGACAAAAGAGAAATATTTTCACACAGAGGGCAATTCATTAATAATAATAATATGTACAATAATACTAATTTGAGGAGACCTGTAGCTTAGTGGTTAGAGCATTCGCCTCCCAAGTGTGAGGACCTGGATTTGATTCCCAGGAAGGGCAAAACATTAGGCAAATAAAATAATAATCCTTGCATTTGATATAGCGCTTTTCACGTCGGGAGGATAATAATAATAATAATAATCCTTGCATTTGATATAGCGCTTTTCACGTCGGGAGGATGTCCCAAAGCGCTTCACAGAATGCACTGTAAAGTGAATTGACTGTATATTTGTGGGCGAACGCGGCAGCCAATTGTGCACAGCAATGTCCCACAAACAGTCGTAGATTGAAAATGACCAATTTATTATTGTTTCCATACCTAACAGTAAGCAGGACTCCGGGTGTGAGTCAATTGGCGGATCGCTTTTCCGGGGGTAATAATCCCTTCAAAAAATAAATAATCATTTGATCACTCAACCCACGACTGATCGCAGGACACTGCTTGCGCGCGATTGGCTGCCGCATTTCCCCCACAAAATACCCAGTCACTTCGCTTTACAGTATGTTCTGAGAAGCGCTTTGAGACGTCTCGAAGACGCGATAAGGCGCTGTATCAAATGCAGGGATTATCATTATTAATTAAATGGGTGGGATGAGGTTAGTTAGTTAGTTAGTTAGTTAGTTAGTTAGTTAGTTAGTTAGTTAGTTAGTTAGTTAGTTAGTTAGTTAGTTAGTTAGTTAGTTAGTTAGTTAGTTAGTTAGTTAGTTAGTTAGTTAGTTAGTTGAGGTTAGGAGTGATGGTGGAGGCCAGGACTCAATTTCACAATAAACTGCTGGATCCTGGAAACTTTGAGGAGTTTCCAGGAGTTCCCCCCCCCCCACCAGCTCCCCCCCCCCACACCCCACACCCCCTCCTCACTCTGCCTCTTGCGATCTTGCGAACCTGGGCTGTATTTTTGCATAACGCTGAAAAGAAAAGCGAAAGTAAAATAAATAAAATGGTGCAAAGGGAGGCAAGACGGTTTGTTGCAGACAGTGAAAACTCAAATGATCCGGCAAGAGTCACGCGGGTCTTTCTGATCTTTCCGTCTAAGATATATTTTTACTTGGAGAACACACACAGTCACATATACATAGATGCACATACATACACACACACATATATAGACACATACACACACACATATACTACATACATACATTTGTAGACACACACATACATATACACACATATTCCCTGCATACACACACATATACATACATACACACACACACATACATACATACACACATACATACATACACACATACATACATACATACATACACACACACACATACATACATACATACACACACACACACACACGCATACATACATACATACACACATACATACACACACACACATACATACATACATACACACATACATACACACACACACGCATACATACATACATACATATTGCCTGCATACACACACACACATATACACAGATCCACACACACACACATACATGATAGACACACACACACACACACACACACACGTACATACATACATAGAGTCCCGAGCATTGTGTTTAAGGGGTCGCTTTGAGTCTGATTGTCGGCTTCACGGCGCTGCCACTGTAGAGGCCACTGTTCAACCACAAATGCGTCTCAACCCCATTTGTCAAAGTCGGAGTGAATCCGTCTCACTTTACACCGCGGAATCCTTTGGTCGGAGAGTCCGACGTGTGACAGGAGCCCGAGAGAGGAGACGCGCACGAGGTGTGGGAGCTCCGGGTCTCAGTCAGTCTCAGTCACAGTCTCAGTCACAGTCTCAGTCACAGTCTCAGTCCCAAATGGGATTGTTTTTTTTTGAGTCTCCAAATTGTGTGACTTGCAAACCCCCCATTCAACTGTCAGACTGTCAGCGGAAATGATGAGAACTTAGCGCTAGGATTTCCTTCCTGGATCTGCGAGTTTCAAGACAACATGGGTGAGCGGGACACAGTCTGCAGCAGGTACTGGGTCACTCCACTTTATTTTATTACCCCCTCCACCCCACCCACCCACTCACTCACCCACTCACTCACCCACCAACCACTCACTCACTCACCCACCAACCACTCACCCACCCACCCACCCAACCACTCACCCACCCACCCACCCAACCCACCCACTCACTCACCCACTCACTCACCCACCCACTCACCCACCCCCCCACCCACCTCAATCCTCTGCTCCAATTTGCAAGTGACTGTGTGTGTGTGTGAGTGAGGTTCAGCTGCTTTTTTTTCTAAAAGAAACACAGAAAACGAGTTTCATTGAGTGAGTGTGAGTGAGTGAGTAAGTGTGAGTGTGTGAGTGAGTGTGTGTGAGTGAGTGAGTGTGAGTGAGTGAGTGAGTGAGAGTGAGTGTGAGTGAGTGTGTGTGTGTGAGTGGGTGTATTTGGGAGAGATTTGCCACCTTTGTTGGTGCATTCATGACTCGACGCGGCAGTGACTTTCGTGGGTCAACTTTTTTTTGCGCAGAATAACCATTAAACAGAAGTTGCAATTTACTGATGGACTGCGTTTGCCTTTTAAAGAGTAGGGTTGAGTCGTGTCGATGGGACAGGTGGTGGGGGGGGGGTGTGGGGGGGTGGGGTGTGTGTGTGGGGGGGGTGGGGTGTGTGTGGGTGGGGGGTGTGGGGTCTGTGTGTGTGGGGGGGTATGGGGCGGTGTGGGGTGTGTGTGTGTGGGGTGTGTGTGTGGGGGGGTGTGTGTGTGTGGGGGGGTGTGTGTGTGTGGGGGGGGGTGTGGGTTGTGTGTGTGTGTGTGGGGGTGTGTGGGGTGTGGGGGTGTGTGTGTGTGGGGGGGGGGTGTGTGGGGGGTGGGGGGGTGTGTGGGGGGGTGTGTGTGGGTGTGTGTGTGGGGGGGTGTGTGTGGGTGTGTGTGTGTGGGTGTGTGTGTGGGGGGGGGTGTGGGGGTGTGTGTGTGTGTGGGGGGTGTGTGTGTGTGTGTGGGGGGGGTGTGTGTGTGTGTGTGTGGGGTGGTGTGTGGTGTGTGTGGGGGGGTGTGTGTGTGTGGGGGGGGTGTGTGTGTGGGGGTGGGGTGTGTGTGTGGGGGGGGTGTGGCTGTGGTGTGTGTGTGGGGGGGGTGTGTGTGGGTGTGTGTGTGGGGGGGTGTGTGTGGGTGTGTGGAGGGGTGTGTGTGTGGGGGGGGTGTGGGTGTGTGTGTGTGTGTGGGGGGGTGTGTGTGTGGGGGTGTGTGTGTGTGTGGGTGGGGGGGGTGTGTGTGTGTGTGTGGGGGGTGTGTGTGTGTGGCGGGGGTGTGTGTGGGGGGGGTGTGTGGGGGGTGTGTGTGTGGGGGGGTGGGGGTGTGTGTGTGTGTGTGGGGGTGTGTGTGTGTGGGTGGGGGGGGGTGTGGGGGCAGAAATAAAAGCAATCAGCTGTGAAGGAGAGGGCAGTGGTCGGTTTCAGCTGCAAAAGGGCTCATTGCAATCGAGGGTTGAAGTCAAGTCGCACAGTGACTGGAGCCACAGTGACTTTGGTGGGTGTTTGGAGTCGGTGTTGAGGCTCTGAGAGAGGGGAACCCCCCCCCCCCACCCCCCAATCATAAAGAGACTTACTTTACAGCTGCGTAGGGCAGAGAGCGAAGGTAAGTCAGAGAGCTGTCGACTCGTGTGTGTGTGTGTGTGTATATATATATATATGTGTGTGTATTATTAACAGCCAAACAAATAATACTCATCCCAACTTCATGTCGGTTTCAACCCAGACATGGACTTGCCACAACCTGTAGTGTGGTCAGTGCAGTGCCACCCTACCCTGGGCAGGAGAGAAAATAGCCAAGTGGGTGAGGGTGGGTGGGGGTGAGTGGGTGAGGGTGGGTGGGGGTGAGTGGGTGGGTGAGTGAGTGGGTGAGGGTGGGTGGGTGAGTGACAGTGGGTGAGTGAGAGAGTGGGTGAGTGAGAGAGTGGGTGAGTGAGAGTGAGTGGGTGAGTGAGTGAGAGTGGATGAGTGAGTGAGAGTGGATGAGTGAGTGAGAGTGAGTGGGTGGGTGAGAGTGGGTGGGTGAGAGTGGGTGGGTGAGTGAGTGGGTGGGTGGGTGGGTGGGTGAGTGGGTGGGTGGGTGAGTGAGTGAGTGAGTGAGTGGGTGAGTGGGTGAGAGTGGGTGGGTGAGAGTGGATGAGTGAGTGGGTGAGAGTGGGTGAGTGGGTGAGAGTGGGTGAATGGGTGAGAGTGGGTGGGTGAGAGCGAGAGAGTGGGTGAGAATTTCCCAGTGCAAAAGGAGATTGAGGTCTATCCAGTTTTGCCTCCCACTATTCCTGGCAGGCGCTTCAACATGTTGTGTCCCCCCCCCCCCCTCCCACCACCCCCCACCGCCCAAACGCAAGATGTGGTTTGTATCCCGAGATATTATTCTCGAGTGAAATCTATCTGGTTGGTTGGTTGGTTGGTTCTTGAACCGAAATGATCCAACCGAAAAAATCGATAAGGAACGAGCAACAAGTGAGGAGCTCGACATTTGTAATCACTTGTATTTATTTCTGTCTGGTAAATAATAATGATAATCATCATCATTGTCATCATCCTTGCATTTAAAAGATATAGCATTTGGTACAGTACAGATAAGCGTTTTAAGTTACTGTTCACTCATTGTTAACTCCTATTTCTAACCGGTTTGGATGAATTCCAGGGTTGAAGTGCAATGAGTGGAGTGAGTACAATACTGAACTGAATTCTGTGGGGGTGTGTTGTGTGTGGGGTGGGGGGTGTGGGGGGGGGGGTTGTCTATACAACACAATGTCTTAGATACCATGTCAGATTGCAGCTGGCTAAAAACATCTGCATTCTCTGCATTACACCCCCCCTCCACCCCCAAAAAAAACCTGAAATACCATCTGGAATAAACCGCTGTCTCTGCTTCTGAGATAATAATAACAAGTAGAATTTCTGAGTTTTAGCAACAGCAAAAAGCCATTCTGCCAATCCTAATTTTTTTTTTCTTTTTTTTTATTTCGGTTCTCAGCCCCCACCTCAACTCCTTTTAAATGAGTTTATCTGTCGTTCGCTGAGTTTGGTAGTGGTGGAGATGAATGATTAACAGCGTTTCTGCCAAGCCGTATTGCTCCTATAAGAGTTGATTGGCGTGTGCCGGATTCATTCCGAGTGTGGTGTGAAAATCAAAATGAGCCGAGCGTAAAGGAGGAGTTCAGCGCTTTTCTGATGTTCTTGAAACTTGAGTTGCATTTAATGGGATGTGGTCAGACGGCAACTCATGCCCATGGCATAGAGCACCCAAATTGGAACATGTGCAGCAGTGCTGCTCTGATGAACTCGGACAGTTTAATCCACTTGTTAACTGCTGCCGAATGTCTTTGGCTAAAGGACTGTCCTGCGGTAGGAAGCAACACTTGGCAAGGATGCTGAGTCATCCATGGGCTGTCAAGCCTGATAGAAGGACAGACAAGGGGGCCGGGGAAGGGGGGGGGGGAAATGGCAAAAATACTTGCAGCCAAACACGTCCACACCTAACTTTTCGCTGTACAGCTTGGATGTACAGGCACTTTTTAAGGCCTTATATTTGCTGTTCAGACTGCACTGTTAAAGGTGTTGCAAAATAGAAGTCTTAAAATAGGTATCAAGACTGAGCTACTGTAAGAGTATAATCTGCTCTCACACCATGTCATTCGTCACATTTATAAACCACTTAGTAGCAATGGATTTGCGAGAAACCCCTAGCAGATTAACATACCTATGAAGGGTTTCAGAATCCACGTGTGTGTTGGTATTTGCATTTTTTTTAGGACATGTAACGTGTGCTGCCCAAGCTTCTGTGCGATCAAATGAAGTAAAAGATTATAATAATAATAATAATCCTTGCATTTAATAGAGCGCCTTATCATGTCTTTGAGATGTCTCAAAGCGCTTCACAGAATAAGCTGTAAATATATTGTGGATTTGTTGAATCCATCAGCCAGTTGAATTTGTAAATCCCGTAGACTGGCAGTGCGATTGTAAATCACATCGATTACCACATATCTTCTCAGTTTACACAGTGCATGGTACACAGTAGTGAGGCTACAGGCTTTACTCGTAGTGTACAAAGACTGTAAGGTCAGTTCCCTTGTCCGATTTAATGCTTCATTCAGGCAATCTCACAGTTGTAACATTTAATCAGATTTTGGCTTTGGAGTGCTAAGCAAATACACCTGAACAGCACAATGATTCACTCATCAAAGAGCAAAAGTTGACATTAGCCATCTCTCCTCCTGGCTGATCCTTGTCAACCGTTTATTTAAACAATGTACAATGCACTATTACTCTGTAAGTACATCACTGATTTTTTTTCTAAAAAGTTGCCAATATATTTCGCTTTCAATCATTACGCCTCAAAACTCTGGAACACTCTTCCTCTATCCCTACTTCTTGTCCCTTCCCCATTTTCAGGTCGTGCCTGAAGACTTTCCTCTTTGACCGTGCCTACAGTCACCTCCCCACTCCTCCCAGCTCCGCCACTGTCAAACACTCTGGGACACTACCCTGCGTGAGGGGTGCTATTTAAATCCAAGTTGCTGTCGCATATGTGGTTAAATTTCTCAACTATTATTCCATCCAGCAGCTGTGATAAAACTAAACACACTTTTATTTTAGAAGCACACTCTCAGTCGCTCGTACCTTTGATCATTACCAGGAAGATCTCATTTCTGAACACTTTGAAATGTAAACAGCAACTGACAAGTTTGGCCACTTTCACGGTTTCCAAAAACTTTCACCGCAGGTTTATAGCTGTGTGCTGTCTGCCCGCTAGTCATTGCTATCTGAGTGATCGATAGTCCTGAAGGTAAATGATACGGATTGAATTTTGGACCTCAACTCTTCACATTGAATTGATCACTGGTTAAACGGAGATTGGAGCCTGTTAACTCCTTCCCACTCCTGAGCAATTATTTTGGAAACATAGAAACAGGAGAAGGCTATTCAGCCCCTCGAGCCTATTCCGCCATTCAATAAGATCATGGTTGATCAAATAAAATTAGGAGGAAGTCAAAAGACATCTGTACACAGGGAAATTCGGAAACCAGTGTTACAAGAGGTGGGGAAATGCTTTACGGAATAACTCAAAATCTAGTGTGAATCATTCATGTAATTAATAACTGGTTATCTAGACCTGATTTGTCAGTGAGAAGGCTTAGCTGCATAGCCATGTTATTTGCCACGAGCTATCCTTCTATCGAAAGGAACCAATTAGTTGAGGTCTCGTGTTCGAGTTGGCATGGCACAGAGCCATGTCTGTGGTAATTGGACATTTAAGTGTATTCAGTGCCAAGTCACTGGCATCGTTTCAACTGAACACCACTTCCCAGTTAATCCATTCAGTAAGGTTGCTGGGTGAAATGAGTACTGATGCAACAACTAATAAGGTGTTATAATCAAGCCCAAGGATTATTATAGCTGGAAAAGACCACAGTGACACGTATGGCTCACAGCGATCTGGCAGTAAATAACAGAAAAGGCAGCATGGGGTTCCTCCAAGGCTCAACTGTTTGTTTTAGTGAAGCATGCAAAACCAAAGTCGCACTTCTTAGAAGTAACACCACAACTAGAGCAAAAGGTCATCGGAAGGTCTGGCAATTAGAGCGAGCAAAGTCTCCCAAAATCTTTCAGAATGCTTGTCAGCAACCAAATCATGAAGTCGAACTGTGTGGCATGATTTAAAGCACCACATTACGAATGATCATTGACAGCGAAACATGTTATTATGTATAACACATGACCTCCTTCACTCCCCCCAAATAGCTTCATTACAAAAAGGAAATGATTGCCTATGTTTGAAACGCAGGTCATAACTTTCTACTCTCGTAAATGATATGTGCTGTTTTTTTTAAAATGTATACACAGTCAATTCACTTTGCAGTGTAAAGATGTCCATTGTAACCGTGCGGTGAAGTAAAGACCGACACAAATCTTATATTAAAAAAAGATATTTATTAATTCAGATTGATAACGGTTATAGGGTAGTTAAAAGAATACAACAGAATAATGCTAACATATCCTCGTACAGTTCACAACTATTAAGGTTGGCCAAACCAAATGTTGTGGAAGAGCCGGTGGAGTAATGTCCAATTTAATCCACCAAAAGGTATCCAGTTTGCCTGTTTGATCATCCAAAAGCTATCCAGGTGCTGTGATACTGTTGCCTGTTTGAGAGCGTCGATAAAGTTGTTGACATTCGTCTTAGTCTTGACCTTCCTGCTTTAGAAGCTGGAATATGGTTTGCGACTCCAAGTTCCAACTCCCTGTCTTCTGATTCTCTTCCTGAATCGATCTCCCGTTATCCAGTTGGTAGATGACCTTTCACCTACCTCATCTTTTACAAGATGGTTTCTTTGTCGCTCGCTTCTCCTCTGAAAGAAAATGGAGTGAGCCCACCACCCTCCTCAAGCTTTTAGTGACCTTGAGCGGGCAGGTTTGCCATGAGAAAATGACCGATGGGGAGAAAGAGGGTTGGGCAACTTTTGCTTTGACAGCCTTCTCCAGCCTGCGTGCTTCTCAGCCTGGAGGTGAGCAGGTGTCTGAGGGAGGCCCTAGCCTTTTCTTTTGGTCTTTTGTTTCCAGAGGAGTGAGCATCTTCCCAGGAAAATATGAAGTGTAGTCAGACGCTGACCTCAACCAGTCCAGCAAAGCTACTTTTAACCCCCGCTAGGCTAGTCGTTTGAGACAACCAGCCCCCATCATGCTTTATAAGATTAGTTGGCCATACCGTAATTTCAAAGCCTTAAGAACATTAAGCATTCCAATTATACTTTCAGATAATATTTAACACATTAATTGCAGAATCCCCACAGCAGCGTTTTCTGTGATGCGCATTGAGACGTCTCAACGACGTGATAAGGCAGTATATCAATTGCAACTATTATTATTACTATCATTGCCCAAAATTATAATTGCAAGACTATAATCTTCTGTAATTCACCTGTGATGCTAGTCCCAAGTTCAACAACTTACATTTATATAGTGTCCTTCAAGCAGGGTAGCGTCTGAGAGCGCTTAAGTTTTACATATATATGCACGTGAGTGGCACCTTGGTGCAAGATTATCATCATCATTTTGTAAAGGGGCGACGGGGAGTAAGGTAATATTGACTGGCAAATTGGAGCACAATCGAGAAACTGGGCAATCATCGACCTGATAAATGCACTGCCAGCGGTTGGGGAAAGCTTTGTATGTTTGCCAGGATTCTTCACAGGAAATTGTCTGGATATGTAACTTGCCAGCTGGAGAGGTTTACCAGAAACCCCTACAGCAAGCGAGCGAGTGAGCGAGCACATTCGCTACTGTGGCGATAGGCGCTGGGAGGAACCAGAAATACAAAGGGAAATGTTCTCTTCAGCCTCCTGATGTGATGAAAGTCGCCTGCGCGGTTTTCGTTTTGTGTCGTGTCTCTTGCCTTCATCTCTAACCCGGTATTTTTTTTATTTCTCCCGTAGCCTACTCCAGCTGTCCCAGATGTTGCAATGAATGGCAACACTATACAACAAGGGTCGTTGACAACGCCCCGAGGGTGGAAGGAGTTCTGTGAGTTGCATGCCCACACCACGGCCAAGGAACTCGCTAAGCAATACTGGCTCTTTGCAAATGAAAATCCACATTACGACTTGCTGGGGGCCGAGACTTTCTCTTTGCAGTTCACCGATCTCTTCCAGCAGTACTTCAGGAATGAGGTAAAGGAAGGATTTGCAATGAACAGATGTACCCTTGTGCCATTCACTGGAGTTCAGGATTACAGGGAAACGGGCAGGAAGCACACAGATGGTTCCTCTGGTCTCGTTTCATCTAAGATGGAAGCCGAGGTGAACAGCTCTGAACAGAGAGAAAGGGGTCCTGACACTAATCTCCCGGCTCCAAAATCCCGAAGCTTCGAAGACGTTTCGGCCCCTGAATGTCACGAACGCTCGAACCCTCTGAGCCATTTTAGCAGAAAGATGAGGGGGAGCCTACGGGGGTTTTGGCAGAGAAAATCAACAGACTCCATCGTCATGGAAGTAAAAGAAGGAGCCTCTGCCGTGGCAGGCTCGCCAGAGAAAGAATGGTTCAAAAATCTGACCCAGAAGTTGCCTTGGACGAGGACTGTATCCCGAGACGAGGCCCACGACATTCGCAAAGAGGGTTTATTAAACTACATGGTGGTGGATGATACGACCATGAACATTGAGACACAAAAATGTAGGCTGCTTGTGCGAAAGGCAAAGCCTTGTGAAGGCACTGGATATGTCCTGGAGCTGTTTGATCCACCAAAGGTATGTACTACTTTAAGATGATCAAAGTCCTGTGTGCTCACGGCTATCTGTGGAGATTGTGAAGGAGGGATTTCTTTGACTGAGCCCTGTACGAAGTTTCACAATGATTAAGCGGACTGAGTAAGCCTCAGATAACCTTAAAAGTTGGTTTATTCAAAGCCGTTTGTTGTGAGGATGGGAGGATTACAGACGGGGATGGAAACGTGAAACAGTTGTGATACTGTAAATACAATAAAATCATGAGGTTAGATGTGTATTTATCCAGGATGCCATAGAGCAGTGTCTGGTTTTTTTTGTACTCAGCTTGGACTCCGGTCAAAATAATACAGTATCCATTCTACTAACCCAACCCATGGTAATTGATGTGCATTTTCAGTTCTGTTTTGCCTACGGGTAATGTCTGAATTTTTATATTTAAAGCTGTGTGGGAATCGTGGCACTTCAGGGTAATTTAGCCGAGCCTGTCATAGACCACGCTGCTACATCTGTAGAGAGTGATTTGGTCAATTTATGTCGATGTTGTGAGTTACACGTTGTATCTGATCGCCCAGATAAGCATATGGTTCCTGCAAACCATACGTAGGAAACGCGCTGAAAAAGGTGTAGAATTAGCAGAAGTGACTAGTTGATTCAAATACGGCAGCTTCTAATTTGCAAAAGGTTCCATTCCCACGGTGGTGGGGGAGGAGGGGTGGGTGCGGGGAGAGTGAGGGGGAGGGGTGGGGGGAAAGTAAGGTGGCTACGGGAAGGACAAAAAAGCGCAAAGACTGGAAGAGAATGTGTGCGGAAATATTTTAAGGCTTTAATATAAGGAGATTTATTCCGAGGACAATCAACAGTTTGAATAGGTTCCTAGAAAGAGAGGTAGAGGCCAGGGCTCTGGACTCATTTAAGAAGCAGCTCAACGCTGTAATGCCGAACCTCTGAGATTTGGGGTGGGGGGGATGGGGGGATTGTGGAAAGTGCTGCCCTGTACTTGGCCGCAGACCAGTGGTGGACAACCGTTTTGGTCGAACAACAAAATAAATTTTTTTTTTTAAAAATTGGGATTGAATATTTCTTGATTTATTCCATCGATCAGGAAATATTCAATCAAGAAAAAACTAGAAGCAAAACTGGTTTAAAACCAACTCTAAATCAGTGCCAATGTTCAGCGTGCCACTTGACAGCCCCGTGGGCCACATCTGGCCCCCTGAGCCACGTGTTGGCAGCTATTGGTGTACACTGACGATGACGTGAAAAGGATTGAAGGACACGTGTACCACTTTACTGTGAGTCGATGGCATCGGAAACCCTGAACCCGGACAAGTAGCGTGAAGTTCCCCACGACTTGTGACAGTCCACTTGAAGCCAACGTGCTATGTCACTGTGTGGCAAGATGCACGTTTTCGCCAACGATGCTTTGCACGCAGATTAGAGCTCCGGTTGGGGGTGGGGGGGGCGGTGGGCGGAACACTGCTTCACAATTGTTCATTGATCTTAGTCAATAAACCCTATTCGCCTTGGCTGCAGGTTACAAATCCTTATTAACCTGTTTAAAAATAATTCCTATTCCCACTGAGGCACAACTCAGCTACACAGTGCCCCAGTGAGCAGATCCCTGCCCAGTGTACAAAGCCAAGTGGAAATGTGGAGACAGGCAACTACACAATCATGATGATTTTAATCTTTGTCTTTTCCGCCACTGGATGAAAGTAAACTTTCCTCTCTGGAGCAGCCAAGATTACTGCCCAGGACAAAGAAAGTAATCAAATAGGGACCAGGGTTCTGTAAAGGTAGCACCACAACCCCCCGAGAATTAGGTTGTTACTGAAAGACTCAACTGTGTGGTTTACTGCGCAGACATCACTTGGAGTCTATCTGAATTTTCCATCAAACCACATTAATGGTAACTGTTAGGCTTTGAAAGTAATGGTTAACTCCTCGAGTTAGCCTTTCGCTCAATGTGCCCTTTGTGTAGCTCTTCCTGTTCCAAAAGGCCATATCTGACATATGTTTGAAATGTGTGTTTTTTAATCCAAAAAGAAAGGGCTTTTCTCTGAATTTTATATTCGCTAAATGATCACGAACTTCAAAAAGCCCCCCAAAATAGCATTCTTATTTTAATGCGCTGTGTTTCTACGGCAATAGAAAAAGAGATTCCATTCCAACTGCTTGCAAGATGCTGGGTCCTCAAGCCTTGGCTCTTGCCAATCTGCGCCTAATACTTTACGAAATTAGGTAAACAGGATGCGGCCCTCCAGAGAGAGAGAGAGAGAGAGAGTGTGTCTGCATTCCATTCCAACAAATATCTCTGGGATTTCCCAGCGTAGGTGGGATGCATGGAATTCTCAGTTTGGTTTGAAGACTCTTAAGCACCGTGATGGGTTTCCACATTTGTGTCAGACACCTGGCTGATCACCCCCCCAAAAATGCTGGGTGGGATAGAGGAAGTGAACCCAGAACATAACTCTCAGATACGCAGGGGCAGCAGGGCAAGTGGGTACAAGCTCAGAGATGCTGGCGGGCAAGTTTAGGACGGACATCAGGAAGTATCTTTTACAGTGAAGGAAATTGACAGCTGGAACGGGTTACCAGAGAGTTCGAGGTGGTAGAGGCAAATCATTAGACTCCCCGAGTGCAACTAATGAAAGGTGGATTGATGCAGTGGTACCATTATTGAGTTAGGGTAGGGATTCATGTTTAAGATGAGCCTCCTTTCATGGGCATTGCATCTAATCTGCTTACTTTGGGTATTAAACTCCAGAGCCGCCTTTAAGAAAGCCCCCCACCGCCCTCCGGGACGCTACTATGTGTGAGAGGCGCTATACAAATGTCTTTTATTGTTGTTATTTAGCGGATGAATGTGTTACTATCTGACTGCAAGAGGCTGTTTTTCTTCGCAGCCCAACCCCCTGTCAGCCTCCTTGTTTGGGTTAATGCTCCATCATCCTGACTCACTGGGTGTCATGGCGTGGGTTGCCAACTACAAGTTGCGACGCAAACCCTCTGTTTACCACAATTTGATCTGACAGACAGATTATATCTACCAACATTGCGAATGGTTATACTGTACCACCCTCACTAGTCACCAGGGAGGACAAAACTCACGCTTGAGGAGGAGGAGAAGAATCGAAGGGGAAAAATAAACACACACACAACGTCAATTACCAAAAAAATCTAGTTTGCGAATTTGGGTCAATTTTCACTTCTCTTTAGGCTCAGAGAGTGTGATAGCTTCTCACGCCTGTGCACAGCACAGCCTTTGGCTTTCAGATAAACATTTTGATGTTCTGTTTCCTGTTGTTTTACCATGGAAGCTTATTTATTCCCTTTATCTAGGGCTGGCTTCTATCTTTGGTGCGTTTGCATATCTTAGCCCTTTGACCACTTAACGAAGCAGTTTTGCACCACGTAAAGCAAAATGACATAGTTTGCTCATTAAATTTTTAGTTTCTTCAGACAAAAGAAGGAATTAAGAATTAAAAAAAAAGCAGCAGCAACCAAAAGAACAAACCAAAAGAACATACAGCAGTCAAAAAATGCAAACTCCAAGTAAACATACCCATAATCTAGTGGCAATAAAGACATTCCAAGTTGTGCATTCCATCTATGGCTAAGTACATCAGGGATGGATTAAGCTCTCTGCTTCAGCTCATGACAAACTGGTTTCTGGTGGCCAGAAGAACTCTCTCTCTCTCCCTGTTGTTGTAAAAAGACATCAGCCGGATGGAGTAGTTGTTTACGTGTGGAGGGAAATGATTGCAAGGGAGAGGACCCGGGTTCGATTCCCGGGCGGGGCGAAACCTTAGGCAAGTTTCCTCACTCCACACCCCTCTGTTTACCTGGTAGTAAGTAGGGACCCGGTTGTTAGTCGATTGGCGGATCGCTTTTCCGGGGATAATAATCCCTTCAAAAAAAATAATAATTTGGTCACTCAATCCACAAAGTTCATGGGACACTGCTGTGCGCAATTGGCTGCTGTGTTTCGCCCACAAAATATACAGTCAACGCACTTTACAGTGTATTCTGTGAAGCTCTTTGGGACGTATCAAAGACGTGATAAGGCGCTATATCAAATGCAAGGATCATTATTAATCTCTTACACCAGTTGCACTTTGACTGTACCTCACGTTTTGCCCGTGGTGCAGCCCCACAGAACCAGACAGTAGTTTTGCATGAGGTGCATTTGGACCTTTGCCAACAAACACAACGAGTTTCAAACTTTTGCTGATTCTCTGAGCAACGGCAGCTGAATCAGTACAGCCCTCCCCAGGCAAAGAGGAATTAGCTCTTCACTGGTGAAACAAAGCAATCTTTGAATTGCACGGATTAACCTCAATGTGTGGAAGATCAGTGGTGAACATTCTATTCCATTCCAATACTGACTGGGTCCTGAGAACAGAAGCCCAGCACTGTTGAAACGACGATCGCGAATCAGTTATTTTGCTTCAAACCTTCTTCCTTTTCCTCCTGAAGACCACAACTCGTGCAGAGGCACAGCTTGACTACGTCGATGTTTCCAGTCCACGCCACTGCTCCCTAATGTATTTTTTTTTAATGAGTCCCACTTTCTAGTGTTTTCCCACATATCTCTTCCACCACCAGGTGTTTACACAGTTCCTTTTGGAACGATTCCATGAATCCAGGCTCAATAGCCACTTGTGGGAAAGAATTCCAAAACCCTAACAACCCTCTTAGTGAGGAACATTTCTTCTAAACCTCCTTTATTTATTTTTTCTGGAAAGTACACACACACGTATATACACACGGCAGTACTCGTTGGAAATTAGGAGCAATTACCTCGGCCTGTTTTGTCTCCCCTGCTTCACTCACCCAACGATTGGTTCCAGCAATCCACAGCAGCCTTGACTGAGGTCAGCTTAACACAGCACTGATCCGAGACTTACCCTGGTTGGTACGGCTGTTAGTCATCAGTAGAGCACGTTACATTTTCAAGTGTGCAGTTTTGCATCTCAGCATTGTCCACTGATTTATAATAATAATAATCTGTGCATTTG